AGGCTGCACGAGCTCAGTGCCTAGCTTGGCGCCTTCGTTGTGACAGGCTGGATCAGGCCTGGGCGCTCCAGCAGGTTCCACTGCCCGGCCCTTCTCCACGTGAGCACAGAGATTGCTCCTTCCGAGGGCGGACACCTCTATCGCCCCCAGTTCTGTTTTCTATTACAAATCATGGGGCCGCAAACCTTCTTGTATGTATCGCCATGTTCACGCCTACAGGTGTGTCCCCTGGGAGGGGCCTCCAGATCACATGCTTCGCCTTTCCTCACTGTCCCCAAACTGTTCTCTAAAGTGGCTGCACAGAGCCCACTGGAGCTACTCGACGCCTAGGCTCAGGACCAGCCAGCGGGAGTGTGCCCCTTCCTTTCAATAACCAGGTCCTTGAAAATGTGGAGCCAGCGGTGCCCGGCTATCCTGTGCCGAGGTTCGGATTTGGGTTAGGACTCACCCACCCTTCTCAGGCACACGACTCTCCATCCGTCCCCAGCTCAACACTGACCTCTTGGGCTGGGGACAGGGAGACCCGTGGGTGCTCAGCCAGGCAGCAGGGAAAGGTCCCCACTCTGCCAGTGCCAGGCCACCTTGGAGACCACCACCCAGCCGGGCTGCACGCCCAAGCGCATGCAGCTGATTCACAGAAAGAAACAGCAAGTCTCACCTTCCTCGTTCCACGCCTCCACGGCCATGCCCAGGTTGCGGGCCTGAATCTCCCCTCTGTGTACAGGCACGGTCGGGTTCTGGCCCATGAAGCAGGAGATGATGTCAGTGCCACCTACAAGCAGGCAGAAGAGGGCACGGTTCAGGCAGCTGAGAAAGAGGCTTATTCTTACTATTAGTGCACAACAAGAAGGAAGGATCTGAAAGGGAAAATATCTATGACTCTCCCCAGATAAATACTGGGGGGAAAAAAAACAGACAGCTGGGGCTTCTTTTCAGGGAGAAACAGGAGAGGCAATGTGGACATTGGTGCCAGCCCCCAGGTCTGCTGATGTGTTTTTGGCCACGTCTTCCTGCTAGAGGATGCGCCAAATAAATGACCTCCCATGGTCACACTGAAATACGAGACACAGAAAGCAGAAGTTTCGCCCGCCATGTGCACCCACGGGCACTGCCCGGCAGCCGGTCCCATGGAAAGGAGGGCTTACTGCGGCTTACAGGGCTTCATGGAAGCACAGAAACCCCCCACTGTGAGGACGCCGAGGGCTCAGGCTGTGCTAGATGGTGACACTCCTGCTTCTGGAAAGAGCTCGAAATGGAGTCAGGCTCCATCAGGCAGGAGCAGCAGGGACTGCCCACCTAGAAGACCCCCCACTGCCCACAGGTATCCTGGCCCAGGCCTGGAGCGGGAAAAGCCAGCAGCAGGGCAGAGCTGCAGGGAAGGGTGCAGAGTCACACTACACACACATGCGCACAGAGGCGGACAGCAGGGCCGGTGAACACGCTGGGGCTGATGGTACTCAGTGAGGGAAGCAAGCATAGGAGGGTGCCAGGGAAGTGAGAAGCGCCTGCCCAAACTCAGGGCCTGGTGTCTGCGCTGCTCTTTTTCTTTCTTTCTTTCTCTCTTTCTTGCTCTCCTCTCCTTTCCTTCTCTCCTTCCTTCCTTTCTTCCTTGTCAGAGTCTCACTCTGTCCCCAGGCTGAAGTGCAGTAGCACAGCCATGGTTCACCACGGCCTTCCCCTCCTGGGTTAAAGTGATCTTCTCATCTCCACCTCCCAAATAGCTGAGACTAAAGGTGCATACCACCATGCCTAGATAATTTTTTTTTTTTTTTGCAGAAGGATCTTGCTATGCTGCCCAGGCTGGTCTCAAACTCCTGGTTTTAAGTGATCCTTCTGCCTCAGCTTCCCAAAGTGGTGGAATTACAGGCATGACCACCACACCCAGCCTGTGCTACTCTTTATACATACTTGTATACCTGAAAAAATATATATTCATATGGTGAGACCTCGTCTCTACAATAAATCAAAAAATAAGCCAGGCATGGTAGCATGCGCCGTAGTTCCAGCTACTTGAAAAGCTGAGGGGGAAGGATCACCTGAGCCCAGGAGGTCGAGGCTGCGGTGGCTGTGAGCGTGCCACTGCACTCCAGCCGGGGCAACAGAGTGAAACTCCAACTAAAGAGATATATATGTATGTATGTAAATGTATTCATTAAGCAAATGTTTCTCCTAATCAGGGTCCATGTGTATGAGCTGGGAGCGAGAGAGTTCAAGGTCCGCGTAAAATGACTTGCTGTTGCCGGGCTCGGTGGCTCAGCCTGTAATCCTGCGCCTTTGGGAGGCTGAGGTGAGTGGATTGCCTGAGCCCACGGGTTCGAGACCCGCCTGGGCAGCGAGACCTCATCTCTACAATAAATCAAAAACTAGCCGGGCGTGGTAGCGCGTGCCTGTAATTCCGGCTACTCGGAAGGCTGAGGCGGAAGGATCGCCGGAGCCCAGCAGGCGAGGCTGCAGTGGCTGGGAGCGGCCGCTGCACTCCAGTCTGGGCGACAGAGTGAGACTCCAACTCAAAAAAAAAAAATATGACTTGCTGTCTCCACACACCAAGAGGGTCTCTTGGCCTCAACTTTAAAAAGACTTGATTTCTTCCCCCAGGCAGAGACTCAAAACGTGATGTCTTTCCTGTCTTCGCTGGCATCTCACGTCACTGACATGCGCGTCCCGTAGCAATGAGTGTCACATTTGTTTCTGCCACCATCAATGTCTGACCAGCCTCCCAGGCCCCAGAGGAGCCACAGAGCTCCCGCCAAGCCTTCAGGGTCACCAGGTGGACGGCGTGCTGCTTGTGCTGCTTCAGGGTCAGCACTGGGACAAGGGGGACAGCGGCAGTAAGACAGGCCCAGACCCTAACAGACGTGGCTCCCTGAGATGGCTGGGCTGGTCCAGAGACAACTCCCTCCCCACTGTCCACGCACCCTGGGAAGGCCCAGAGGCCCAGCCACTCCGCCACACCAGCCTGGCCCAGACCAGGGGCTGCTCTGCGGCCTGAGGGCCTCGGCAGGGCCAGGAGGGGGCAAGGAGGGGCTAGAGGAAACCTGGGTCCCCCCGAAAGGGTCAGGGAGGAGCCCCATCTGGAAATTCTGTAGACATCTGGGGGACTGTCGAAGCCTCAGCCAGCTCCAGGAGGTGTACCCAACCCTCAGATGGGAAGAAGAAAGCAGGGGAGGGATCACCCCTGCAGAAGCTTGCTGGGGCGGAGGTAGAGAGGGGTACAGGTTCCTGAGAGCGCTTATCTAAAGACGGAGCCCTGCCACTTCCATCGACTCGAAGGCTGGAGCCAAGGCAGTGTACACCATGAACAGCCCCCAGGAGATCAAACAGCAATCCAAGTGCCCACAGCCAATCTTGACTGCTGACATGACCCCAACCAGAAGCCCAGGGTTCCTGACATCCTTCCTGCTGCTTGCCTGCCGGGGGGAACAGCCCAAGACCCCTAGCTTCGGGCCTCAAGCAAATGGCACCTTTCAAAGAGGCGTTTTAAGAGCTTTTCTCAAATCACCAGGAAAAAAATCAGAATTACAGATATATAAAAAGAAAAGTGACCCAAAGCTTTCTAGAGGCTGAAACGGAATCAGCTCTAGGTTCCATTGTTAAGGGGTGTATAAAAAGGGGTGCTCTCTCTCCATTTACACACAACACCCCCACAAAGGAAACCATGTCGGCTTCCACGAGGAAAAGGCAGAACGCTGAAGGGGTAAGTGGGGACACAGCGCCCAGCTCCTGTGTGGACTCGGAACTTTTGACCACACACACACATTATTTTCCAAAGCACAACTTTACGCTAGGAAAACAGTCCTGAGAAGACAAATCCCTTGTAATCCACATACAATGCACCCGCAGAGACACACACGGGTGTGTGTGGATGCAGCCATATGCACCTTTGTTCCCAACCTACAAAAAGGACCACCCCTTATAATTCTGCAGTCTGATGTTTTTCACTCATTGGAGTCATCTTTCAATCAAAATATGCTTCTTTCTAAACAAATGCTATCATCCTATCACGTCTAATGACTGCATAAGTTGGGGCGTGCCTTAAGTTACTCAGTGAATTCCCTCCCACTGGGCAGATAGGTCATTTCTATTTTTACTAATGTAAACAATACTGCAATAATTGTCCTCGTATACAGTTGGTCTTCATTATTTGCAGATTCTATTTCTGCAAATTCACTACTCACTAAAATGTACCTGTGGCTTCAAAATCTATACTGGGGCTGGGCAAGGTGGCTCATGCCTGTAATCATAGCACTTTGGGAGGCCGAGGTGGAAGGAACCCTTGAGGCAACGGAGACCAAGAGTTCAAGACCAGCCTGGGCAACATAGTAAGATGTTAAGAAAATCTACAAAAACTTATAAAAATTAGCTAGGCATCAGAGCGTACACCTGTAGTCCCAGTTACTCAGGAGGCTGAGACAGAAGGATTACTTGAGCCCAGGAGTTCAAGATTAGCTTGGGAGATATAGGCAATATAGTCCCACCTCTCCAAAAAAATCCATAAACGGAGCACTTGAGTCACCCACACACACGTTCTGCACAAGGCGACACTACCTCTTCCCTCTCACACAGAAAACCAGGGAAGGGCGGGCAGCTCCCCTGGGGCTCTGACACCTTTCGTGGTGCCGTCTCGCGCGAGTGCTGAACACTTCTGAGCTAGAAACTACCAGAATGAGCTGTCTGGGGATTGAAGACTATACTCAACATGAGACGTGTGTGTGTGTGTGTGTGTGTGTGTGTGTGTGTGTGTGTGTACATGCGGGTATTCCCCCAGGAGAGCAGCGGCTCAGTCTTTGCTAACTCAGGGTCCACAGCAACTTTCTAGAACATCCCTGCCTGGAATGAGACTCAACTGTGCACAGTGGCACCCTGGCGGACGGTGTCCTTGGATGAACGCAAATGTGCAGGTGTGCAGGGCAGAGGGCCAGGAGGACTGTCCCTGCCATGCAAGCACCCAGCAGGAGCCATACCTGAGATGGAACCCAGGAGGACACTGCTCTTGACGTGCGTGTACACGTAGTCGTAGCTCTGGGCCTTCAGCGGGGAGCCCGTGGACAGCAGCGTGCGGAGCGTCTGGAGACTGTGGGTTTCCGCTGGGGAAGAATCACCAAGAGACCGACCGGGTCACGGCCCGACCCTCTGTCCACGCACACAGGAACAGTCACTGGCGGGTCTAACCTCCTGGCCTGACGACACAGGCGGCAGGGACGCAAGGAGAGACGCTTACCTGGCTTCAGGCCTTTCTCTTCAAGCACGGACAGCCACTTGGCACCTGTCCCCAGGACGGTGATGCTGCGGGTACAGGCGGGAGAGAAAACACCAGAAGGGCATCAAGGCTCCACCCACCAAAGCGTTCAGTTAGTGATTTCCTTCTTTGTGTGTGTTTGTTTTGAGCTAGGGTCTCATTCTGTCACCCAGGCTGGCGTGCAGTGGCGTGATCACAGCTCAATGCAGCCTCGACCTCCTGGACTCAAGGGATCCTCCCGCCCAGCCTCCCGAGCAGCTGGGGCTACAGGCCCATCAAACATACTTCGAATCCTCGGCCCATCCTCTTTTCTTAACCGAGATCACGTTTCTATGAAATTTAGAAAAACACAGCTCTTCTCTTCTTGAGCGTCCAGAATCCACAGCTTTGTCCCCACGTCTGTGCTCCGAGAGACACATTCTCCAGGGGAGCGTCATCTGATGTGCCATCTCCTCCTCGCCCTGCTTCCTGCCAGGCACCCTTCTCGCGTAAACGCGATCTTCCCAGTAAAGGATGAGTTCTCTGGGGGCCCACGAGGCTACGAAATTGAGTTTCCCCACATGGCCCTGGGCAGTGGAGCCTGGTCCCGGCACACTCGGGTGGAGATGCATTCTGGGGGCACGGCTGCCGTGGCACGCACGGTCTGACACTGCAAGACGAAGCTGCAGGTCTTCGGGGCCAGGCTGGGTGCAGCCAAACCTACAGTAGAACAGGTCACCCTCCACGTGAGGGGTGGGTTACTCGGGTCCTTCTGCCCCCAGGCCTTTATACTCTTACCTCCCCAGAATCACGCTGACACCACCAAAGTCACCCCTAAACCACAGGCATGTCCCGGGTTACCGCTCCCAAGAGATGACTGTTGGGGGGCGGGCATGGGGACTGGCCCCTCCCATCATCCCCTCATGCTTATTTCATAAACTCAGAGTCTGATTAACACTTCAACATTAAGGTGTTGCCCTCTTTGGGAATACCTTTTTTTTTTTTTTTTGAGTTGGAGTCTCACTCTGTCGCCCAGACTGGAGGGCAGTGGCATAATCACAGCTCATTGCAACCATGACCTCCTGGGCTCAAGTCATCCTCCCATCTCAGCCTCCCAAGTTGCTAGGACTACAGGCACGCACCACCACACTGGGTTGATTTTTTTTTTGTAGAGACCAGGTCTCGCTATATTGCCCAGGCTGGTCTTGAACTCCTGGGTGAAGCAATCCCCCCGCCTCAGCCTTCCAGAGTCCTGGGATTACAGGCATGAACCACCAGGCCTGGCCAGGAATATCTTTTCACAGAGAACTGGAGACATCATAAGTCTAATGGTGGCCAGCCCAGCCCTGGTTACTGAAGCAGTGACCGCCTCCAGCCCTGGGTCTGAGCCCTCCAACCACCAACCACACCCAAACAACATCCAGGCTTTATGTGGCTCATCCTCACTCCACCCTCCAGCCCCTAGAAAACTCCAAGGCTCTCTGTGGCCCTAACAAGTGTTTAAGTATAGATGAGACTCTGCGACCCTGGAGGTGGTGTCCCCAGTCTGAGTCACAGCCCTGCGTGTCTGAGAAACAGGAAAGACCCCCACCCATCTCCGGGATTTGCACAAGACTGGTAAAGACACCCCATATGCCATTCTGTAAGCATAGGAGTCCCTGTTGTGCGTGTATCTTATTGCTCGTGAGCACTTTAGGGCATCCAGCACCAAGTGTGAGACAGCTTAGTGGCCCACGACCAGTGGGACCGGTGCCCGCCAGTGCCCAGAGTCCCGTGAGGATCCAGGTGTGGGTCGCCCACATACAGCGCCTCTACGGCCACTTGCTGCCTGTGGCTCCAAGAGCCTGAGGTCTACCGGTTTCTGCTCCTGCCCGCTATGCTGGCCTTTTATAAATGAGAACGCGATCGTGTCTCTCCTGATTCAACTGTCTATTCTGTTCCACTGGGGTGTTGGGAGCCAGCCATGGAGGCCCACTGAGCGTTAGGGATCAGGAAGGGGCGTTGACCCTGAGACCACTAGGATGTGTTTGGGAGCTGTTGACCCCATTCCCTCTCTCCTTTTTTACTTGGTACTGTAACCAGGAAAGGCTCCTGCTGGCTCTAACAGAAAACTCTGAGACCAGAATGTACACAGCTAAACTTGAGAATCTATTGTTCCCATTTTCCACGGTTTATGGTTTTTGCTTTTAAACAATTTAAGTTTAACTTTGAGTCACATTGAAGAGGCTTAGTGCAAGTCACAGGTTCTCTTGATGTGATTTTAGAAATTTATAGATATAGGTTTTAGGAAATAGTTTATATAGATTGAAGAAAATTTAGGTAACCATTTTATTGTAGAAGTGTGGTTAGTTTAGTTTGATTTAGGGGGGCAGTGAAGTTTGAATTAGGCCAGCTGGTGTTAGGAGAGTGTAACCATAGCAACAATTGTTTTAATAGAAACTAGTTTGAATTAGCACAGAATAGTAGAAGTTAATAATTCATTATGGTGGTTTCGGGTTTAGACATTGAGTGATGTTATTTCAAGATGATGCAGTTGTAATACAATTAAGGGCACATAAGAAACTGGTTTGGGGAACATTAAGCAAGCATAAGAAACAAAAACACAATTTGTGGTTGTTCTTCCTCATGTTCTTCCTCATGTATGAAAAACATTTGCTTGAGAGTAGGGGGTATCCTTTGAGAGTGGGGGTGTCCCTTGTGCACCTGGACCTGTTCATGTGAAAGGCACGTGCTACCTTTTGTGTCCTGTGATGATGACTTTGCAAAGTTTGGGGATAAAAGCCCTGGGATAACACTCAATAAACGGCTTCTGCTCACTCTGAACAGTAGGCCAGTCCCTTTCTTTCTCCCCTAGTCGCCTACTCCGTCTCACCTCCAGCAACCCCTGACCTTGCAGGAGCTGGACTCCCACACTGGGGGAAACCCACCCCCCTCCTAGCAGGCCCCAGAGGCCCTGCTCTCTGACTGCCGCCACCATCCTCACCCCACACGGACCCTCATACTCGGGTCACAGGGGTCCCCTCCAACATGCCCAGCTCACCTGCCTCAACCCCACCTTGAGGCATGGTGCCTGCCACTCTCTTCGCCTGGATCATGTGTCCCCAGACCTGTACTCCCAAGTGGTCAGGCCTTGGCCACAGGCCAGGACTTTGAAAGGACTCCCTAGCCCAGGTCCACAGCAGCCACCTCCCAGCCAAGCCATCCGCTCTCTCCTCCTTCCCTTCCAGCACCAGCTCCAAGAAGGCAGGGTGAGCTCAATCCTGGTTGCTGCTGTGTGGATCCCAGGGCCCAGCAGGCACCTTGGCACACACAGTCCAACGTGTGTAGGGTGATGAGGCAACTTCAGCCAAGTGATGCCCCACCCATTCATGCCCAGAACAGCAAGTGTGCCCACTCATGAGGTCCCTGCCCTCTGAACCACCTCACCACATACACTGTGCCCACGTGGAGACAGACAACACGGGACCGCTCAGACGATACCTACACTGATCACATGACTGACAAAACCTGGACAAGACCCAGGAGTTCCAGCCCTAACTCTCCAGAATGTTCCTGGACTCCTGGAGCCCACTCACACCCCCATGAAGAAGAAAATTCATCTTTTCCAAGAATCCTGTTTGTGCCTACAAAATAAATGCTCTGTGAAAAAAGGCGCCAATGAGTTGGGAGCTGATGTGAGGATGGCCAATAAAGATGGCACGCCTGCATCTGTCAACATCATGTCCAGTGTCTGCCCTGCCACTCCTCCTGCCCCAAAACACAGCTACACATGCACACACAGACACGCAGCCACATGCACACAGACACCTATACATGTACATACAGACATGCATACAGCCACACGCACACACTCACACTCCCAGGCACACATGTACACATGGTCACACTCACACATGTGTGCATGTGTACACTATCACACACTTATACATATACATAAACTCACATACACACATAGTGACACACTGCACACACACACTTTGACACACTCACACTTGAGCATACATCCACACTCATACATCCACACACCAGACACACACAGCTTGGCTTCCCTGGGGCCCCTCGTCCCTCGATGGTCCAGGGACACACATCTCCCTCCACCGCTCTCCCAGTGTCCCCCAGGGCACGGCCCTCCCTCATGCACCCCAATGCACAGTGTCCCCAACGGGAGCGTGGCTTGAAGGGAAAAGGGGAGGTTCTAAGCTGGCTCAGCTCCCAGGGATTTGATGAAGCTTTTTTGTTTAAGTTGGAGTCTCACTCCTTCACCCAGGCTGAAGTGCAGTGGCACACAGCCACCCCAGTGTTGACCTGCTGGGCTCTGGCGATCCTTCCACCTCAGCCTTCTGAGTAGCCATAACTACAGAGGCATGCTACCCCACCTGGCTGTTTTTTATTTTATTGTAGAGACAAGGTCTCGCCAAGTTGCCCAGGCGGGTCTCAAACCCGCAGG